ATTTGAATCGTCTTAGCTGGGATCTCCAAGCTGCTAGATGGCAACTCGCACATGCTGAATAAAAACAAGAGGGAGCAATATTTACTGCAGTTTTCACATTAAAGTTTATATTTACAGTGGAGTCCTGTAGCTCAGTGGTTAGAGCACTCGCTTTGCAAGTGAGAGACCTGAGTTCAATTCCAGGCAGAGGGTGAAACCTTGGGCAAGTTTCCTTACTCCACACAGAGCCTAATAATAATCCCTCCAAAACCAAAACCAATAATAAATTGGTCATTTTCAAACTACGACTGTTTGTGGGACATAGCTGTGCGCAATTGGCTGCCGCGTTCGCCCACAAATATACAGTCAATTCACTTTACAGTGTGTTCTGTGAAGCGCTTTGGGACGTCCTCCCGAGATGAAAAGCGCTATGTCAAATGCAAGGATTATTATTATTATTATTTTTATTTCCAGATGCATGAAATACTTTGTGCATCCGGCTTCCTTTTCAATTTGATTCAATAACGACGCATTTCTATCGCTCCTTCCTCTCTTATTGACCATGTCCGTCAGTGCCATTAGTGGTGAATGATTGGTTGGAGATCCCAGGGCGATGGGTTTCCACATGTCTCAGATACCCAGCCTACCACAAATTGCTGGGCTTCATTGGCTCAGTTGCCAGCACTCTTGCTCTCGGCTTGAAGATTGTGGGTTCAAACCCCCCGTCAAGACTTAAGCTTTTTATCTAGGCTGACACTCCAATACAAGACTGTTGGAGGCTTTATCTTTTTGATGAGACCTTGAACCGAGATCCCACCTGCCTGCTCAAGCAAACATTAAACATCTTATGAAATGGGAAGCTAATTTGCCCTGGTCAGCACTTCTCCACATTAATTGACTTTATGGCTGTTTGTGGGACCTTCCTGATACAATTGGCAGCTGTGTTTGCTTATAAAAGTCACCCAACATACTCAACAATAATTATCAGTGAAGGACCTTAAAGTATTACGATGTGATAAGGTTTTATAAAACGCAGGTTTTTTTAAAATGTAATTTTTCCTGCCGTGTTTGTTTTGGTGCGGTAGTCCCTAGTTAAGCGTCAAAGCTGCTCTATGACAAAGCACACACTAGAAATTGAAATTGAACCAGAACAAGTTTACTTTTCCTTCAAAATCGCTGTAACGATTCCATGCAATTGAAATATGGTATATTGACATTTTAGTATATTGTAAAATTGATAACAATTACTCTGCTTCTCATTGCTTTATAATGAGGTAAATTACATAAGCAGTTGAGCCACATGCTCAAAATATTCAAATTAAGATGTTCAATTAGCGCTTGAATTACCTTCTGACTTCCTGCTGCATATTGTATCTAGCCTTCTCAGTGTCTAGTTAACGTTGGTGTCTTCACAACAATCCTATGGCATTACTCAAATAGAGAGGGGAGTGTGGACGAAAAATCCGCCAGATAAAATTGGTCATTCACTTCCTAGCTGTTTGTGGGCCACTGATGTGTGCAAATTGGCTGCCATGTGAAGAAGAAATGACCAACTGCTGCTGTTTGTGATGATGCTGCATGGAACAAAAAGTAGGAGATAGAAATGCTACAAAAGAACATAGAACCGTAAAACCATAGAAAATGTACAGCACACAAGAAGCCCTTACGGCCTGTCGTATCTATGATGGTTCTTTCAACAGCAAACCCTTTCAGTCCCATTTACCCGCCCTTTCCCCACTGTAAGGTTGCGCATATGTCCCTTTGCAGAGTCAGGCATGAACAGTGGTAGCACAAAGGGATGTTCGCTATTCCATTTAACCGGCCACCTCTGCCTTGACAAATATTCTCGGAAAAGGCCCAATTCCAGTTGTTTCTCCTCTCGTCTAAGAAATGTTGAGGCTGGACTAGAATGTGGTTTACTATAAATAATTTCTCCAATGTTTAATTTCGTGAGCATAAAAAAACATCTAGTCCTTATGCTATAGCTGTATCGATGCAAAACATGATACAAGACGTGTTCTTTTTCAAGATACTGTACATCAGCACGAATATTAGTAATGGTATCTGAACTGATTATATCTGGTTTCCTGGATAATAACAATCTAGTGATCGGTGAATGTCTTGTGGTTTTTATGAAGTTTGCTTGGCCAGATCGGAATTTATTGTAATTGGAACTGACTTGGTGTACTCAAATATTATTCTGTGGTCTTAATCTTACTCAGATCGGGGATAATGTTATCAGGAGTCTTGTGTTTTTAAAGCGTCGGTATGTAAAACCACACAATTTCTAATTGCTTGTGTTTTGTTTACTTGCAAACCCACTCAGCCGTATTAAGTGGCTTTGTTGTCGTGTATGGAATTCACACACTTGATGTGCTTGCAGTGCTATTCTGTGTTGTGATGGGCACTTTTTAATGAATCAGGCTATCATCGAATCATTAGAAACCCGAATGCGTTTACTGGGTTATGTGGCAGGATTACCAACCGTGCTCACTCTGCTTATTTTGCTATTTGATTGTATTATTTAATTATGAGAGGTACAGGTAGGATAATCGATTGTGCCTGTGCACGTGTGAATTTTGTACCGACGGAAAGAAAGGAACACATTTATTTTCCTCTGCATACCAAGTGATAATAGCAGGAACATAGTACAGTGTAGGCCAGCCACGCTGCATTTTAGATTGCATCTTAACCTTGGCTAAAACCTGATCTGATCTGATCCACACGCAATGCCTGCTCCTCGGTTTTACAGAATCCTCTTCTGTTGCACAATGTGACATTCCCTTGTCCAAAAGCATCTCACCTTTCTGGCCCCTCACAGTGAGATTGCTGATGTTACGCCAACTAATGACTCAAGCTTGACACGTTGTGCTATGGTTACATATCCATTGGGACTTGGCAATGAGATTGCCACTAAACCAAATTCATTTAGGGCACTTAACAACTGCCCAGGAAATTAGGGTCCTATCCTCTCAGTCTGCGCTTCATTTAAACCTGGGCTCGAAATGCGAATGGATAGCGTCAGAAGACAGTGTGCTATCCATTCTCAGCAATGAAGGGAAGTGAACAAAGACTGTGTGTAGATTTCAGTAATAATAATGATAATCCTTACAGTTGATATAGCGCCTTATGATGTCTTAAAGCGCTTCACAGAAGGGACTGTGGGATGGAGTTCCAAAGGGTAAATCCTGTAAAGCGCTTTGAGGCTTCCTCCTGGAGTCAAAGGCGCTACATCAAATGCAAGAATTATTATTTAAAATCCCAAGTTGTTGACATTGAGCAAAACGGATCCTGTTGGCTTGATACGTGTACATAAGCATTGAATGCACATTTGTGACAATTAACAAGTAATTGTATGTTACAGTTCTATGCAGTTATGTGCCAGAAATCTATTACACTTGATGCAGTTTGTTTCTGGGGGAAGAGTGTTCAGTTCACAGTCTATCAGAGCAGAAGGACTCTGGCAGTTCTTTGCAGACGGAGAGTTTTAAAAGTACTCCCGAGTCTGGATAATCAGACGCTGATTGTTAATTAAATACCGTATTCAGGGAATCACTGTGCAAATAAATCTGTACAAGTTGGGCTGCTCTGTGCTCCATTAATTACAATCCTTCTATTGCAATCTTGCTTTCTTTTAAAATCCAAGGAACAATTTTCATTAAAATCAGTGAAAATGTAATGATTAAAACTTTTCACGATCCCTAAAATGGGTGTATTATAAGAGAAAGAGAAAAAAACGCCTTTGTTGTTTTGCAAAAACCCATCATCGTGCTTAAGGAACCTCGGAGTCTTGTTTGACTCTCAACTATCCTTTCTTCCCCACATCTGCGCCATGATCTGCTCTGCTTTCTCCCACCTCCGCAACGTTGCCCGGCTCCGACACTGTCTCACACAGCAGGCCAACGAGACCCTTATACACGCCTTCATTACATCGAGGCTCGACTATGCAAACTCACTGCTTGTCGGCCTCCCCAACTCCTCCCTCCACAGGCTGCAGATCATCCAGAACTCTGCAGTCCGTGCCCTCTCCCGCACCAGGCTCCCTGACCCTATCACCCCCATCCTTGCCCAACTCCACTGGCTTCCTATCACACAGAGGATACAGTTCAAGACCCTGGTCCTCACCTTCAAAGCCCTCCATGATCTTGCTCCCACCTACCTCTCCGACCTCCTAACCCCCTACCACCCTGTTCACTCCCTCCGCTCAGCGGGCTCCGGTCTGCTTCAAGTGCCCTGCCTTGCTCGCCCCACTTTTGGCAGGCAGGCCTTCCGCCACTCTGAGCCACCCTCTGGAACTCCATCCAACAGTCCCTCTGTCTTGTTCCCTCCATCGCCACCTTCAAGACCTTCAAGACCCACCTCAAGACATTTCTCTTCGATCGAGCTTATGATCTCCCTGCTTCCCCCCCTCGCCCTCCACCCTCCCTCACTCCGACCCCCAGCTCAGGTCCAGAACCTTGGGATGTCCTCCCGACGTGAAAGGCGCTATACAAATGTAATTTTGTTGTTGTTGTTGTTGTTGAGAGCATGCAAACTAGCAAGAGATCCACAGACATTTCTGTTTCTCTGGCATGGAGTTTGCTCTGTGTCCCAGAGAGATTCCCAGCAAGAGTTTACATTACTCAGATTCTGTTTACCTAGCAGTAAGTAGGAACCTTAGTCAATTGGAAAATTGCTTTCTGGGGGTAATAATCTCTTTAGAAATAATAATATTAGATAATTTGGTCACTCAATCCACGACTGTTTGTTGAACAATGCTGTACGCAATTTGGCTGCCGCGTTTTGCCTACAAAATATACAGTCAATTCACTCTTAGGTATATTCTGTGAAGCACTTTGATCCAACCACCATCTCGGGTGCGGATCCCTGATTGTCCAGTGCCTTGGGACATCCTCCTGATGTCAAATGCGCTATACAAGTGTAATTTGTTGTTGTTGTTGTCTCAACGATATGATAAGGCGCTATATCAAATGCAAAGGTTATTAGTAATATTATCATCATCAATGATTTGTTTCCTTTTATTTCAGATCCCGCAGATAAGCTATGCGTCCACAGCACCAGAGCTGAGCGACAACAGCAGGTATGACTTTTTTTCCCGTGTGGTCCCACCTGATACCTTCCAGACCCAGGCCATGATTGACATTGTCAAGGCTTTACGCTGGAATTACGTCTCGACCCTGGCCTCCGAGGGAAACTATGGAGAGAGTGCAGTGGAAGCCTTCATCCAGAAATCTCGAGAAGATGGTCAGTATTCATTTACCGTAAATTCTCACTGATATATTAAATACTGACTGGCTATTCATGCATCAACACAAGAAATTGTTCACTGAGGATTTTCTGTTAGGTCTGGATTGTCATTCTAGTCATATCCCACTGGAGTTCTGTCCTTCATCACCTTTTAGCTTATTTTGTTTTTGAGATCAAATACTTTAACAAAAAAAAGTTGATCATATATTTGTTACACCTGGGCTAGAGCTCTGATTACATGAGATGCTCGTCTCCGCCATATAAGTATGAAGCACCCAAATAACGTTCACAGTCTTAGGCTCAAGATAAAACTCCATTAAAATTTATGGTCTTGGAAAAGTGTCAAATTCACTCGTAATTTGGAAACTAAATAGAGACACAGGGAATGCATTAGGGAACACTGCAAACTTTTACCTGCAAATGGTCTTAAGCTTAAAACTGTTTGATATTTTGGGTCTTGGTTAATTTCAGATTCTCTTCAGTTAGGCGTACATAACAATGCTCTGTCAACTGATTGTGTCTTTTCTTGTGGTGAAATGTGGCGAAGGGTGGCCAAGGTTCGGACCAAGGTTACGTGTTTATTGACAGAGAATAACAGGAAGCTCATTGTAACTGTGGAAACAAACTCCGGATATTTCAATGCAAGTCCCTATCTAGATTCTGTGAGTGGATAGCTTTAAAGTGATGTAATGGACTGTTCACGGACCATAAGAGAAAAACCTAGGTGCTGGATAAACAATATTATGGCTGGAGTTAACGTGAAGGACAATGCAGTCACTGAGTGATGGTGCTTTGTGGATTAATACAGCAGGTACCAGGCTATCGACTGTAGGTTTGGTATTCTGTAAGGATGAAATCAAATGGGATGAAGGGATTTCTTCATCCAACCCAATCATGTGGTATCTGCACTTGTCAGTTCACACAGTAATTCCAGTTTTCTGAGGTGCAAAGTTTGTTTTGTGTCACACAAGCTATTATCTGAGTCTAAAAGATACACATGAGCAAGGGAAGATCCACTTGCAGTGACTAATGATTCTATTAGTTCACAAGATCATAAGATTGGTTGGGATGAAGAAGACCCATCAGCTCATCTGATTTCATTCCTCTAGATATTCCTCCACATCACAGCATGAAGCTGCTTTCTAAATGGCCTCAACCCTTTCAACAGATAGATATCTGTTGGAGTCCTGTAACTTAGAGCACTCGCCACGCAAGCAAGAGGACCTGGGTTCGACTCCCGGCAGGGTTTCCTTACTCCACGAATGTTTGTGGGACATTGCTGTGTGCAATTGCCTGCCGCGTTTCGCACACAAAATATCCAGTCAATTCACTTTACAGTATATTCTGTGAAGCGCTTTGAGACGTCTCGAAGATGTGACAAGGCACTGTATCAAATGCAAGGATTATTATTATACATATGTTGTATATCAATGGGGTGAAGCTCCGATTTTCCTTAAATGTACCCACCTTGACACTCGAGTGTGTCTGATTCAGCAAGAAATGACATGGGTTTGTCTTGCCAAGACCAATTCACTCCCCAAAGATTGTAGAACATTCATTTGGGGGTTTAAATGAGCTTTGTACATCTGACTGACAATGTTTAAATCACAAGATTAATGATGAAAACAGTAACTGTGTGTACCCTATAGTATGAAATACCAACATTGGTTAGATGTATATGATATACCATTGGAGGGTGACATTATTGCATTTTAACAATAATGTTCACAGGTCGAAATGGCATGTTTGAAATAGCCGTCAAAACATCTCAGAGCTACGCGCGACTTTTACTGTGAAGTTTAGTGATTGTGTATTTGTAGGCAAGCTGTCATGAGTTCATGTCGTGCATTTCTACACAAGTGCACTCCCTCCCCCACCTCCCATCCCGCGACTATTGTATAAATTATATGCAGGAACAGATGGAACAATGAAAGCGATTTAATATTAATTGATCCACAGGTAATTGAAACCTTGCATAAACCTGAGGCATTAATGCCTTACATAGGTGTAAAATTATGTTCAGCTCAAAGCTGTGCTTGGGTGTGCGTGTGTTTGCAAGATAACTTGCTTGCGTTATTTGTTCTTTCATTCCAAATTAATGATAGATTCCAAATTCTATGACTGGGATATTCCATCACCAGTGTGCAACATTATCTAACCAACAGGAACGCACCCATTATTCACAACTGTAATGTGGCCGGTCTAACCACATTTGAGCAGGCTAATGTGGAGCAACAAAGAATTAGTTCAGCATGAGAGATTGTTATTTGAGTCACGCCTGCATTGACAATGATGCACAGATGTTGGTTTAGCAGCTGGAAGCCAATACGGTGCAGAGCTCGCTACTTTCTGAATCTTCCCAGCGCCCGGAGGACTTTTAATTGGCAAATCTATGACCTAATTTTAGCTGAATAGACAGAAAAATTAATCAACTACCCGACCAGCGGATTTCCGCTGCATTCTGCGTTACACAATGTGAATTTCTCAGAGATTTAGAGAAGTGTATTGGTACATTGAGGGCAAGCCAGGCAGCTCAATTTGAATCCTAAGATTTGTTTTGCACATTAATGCAGGATTTACATTCTGTACTGGTTTATCACAAAGAATGTTGGTTAATGATAATTAAAATAATAATCCTTACATTGGATACAGCGCCTTTGACGTCTGGAGATTGACTCGGGATTGATTATAAAGCGGAGTTCCTATATCGAGAGCGAAGATTTCACCTCACGTAGAAGTAGATGGTTTTGCTAACGGATAATTGACAATAGAGTGGAAAATATAAATTAGCGTATTGAATTTTTTGTGGCAGATGACATTTTTACCTCAACAGATACACAGATATGGAAGCACATTTCCTTTTGTAGACACTACTCTTGTGGAACTACGCTGTAAATTGGTATTTTCTGTTGCGTTTTCCTACTTTTGGTTTGTACACAATAAAATACAATTTACAGTTAGATAACGCCTTTCATGTCTCAAAGTGGTTAACATTGCTGGGCTTGGCAACACCTCAACTGGGGGAGAAAGCCGAAGGGGTGAGGTGGGAGAGGACAGTACAGATAACCGAAAGTACGGTCAAAATGGTAGGTCTTGAAGGAGAGGAGAAAGGGAGAGAGTCGGAGGGAGTGAGTCTAGGAAGCCCGGTGACTATTGTGAGGAGCACAAAATGTGAATCCACTATGAAAAACTATTTCACATTAGGGCAGCTGATGTAGAAAAGGGCCATATTGAAATTTATATACATTTGTTTGGCTAGCTTTTACAGTCGTCAATGTGAAGGGTTTTGTTGCTGAAAAATAGAACGCTCCAAATCCAGACAACCCTTGGCAGCACTGAGCCCCTCCAGGTCAGCTATCACACTGGCTAGATATCGAAGCATGAAACATTTTTGTTTGATGTGAAATCATCACTACATAGTAGGAGAGAAATGTACAAATGTAATCCACACTGAGGTGTCAAGCAACATATCATGGTACTTCTTGAACAAAGTCAAGATACCTCTTTGCCTCATAACATTGAATATATATGATAGATATACTGAACTCTCAATATTCCAGGGGCCAGTGCAGTTTGTCTGCTTCTTTCTTCCCTTTCTATGTTGGGGAACGGGGACACTGGTTCCAAATAACTGAGGACATTTAATTTTCTTATAATATTGTTTTTCTGAGCTTACAGCCTCCTTGCCTTTTCTTCAATTGGAGATGGCAATGCATTAGGCTTCTCGAATGACTTGATGATTGGTTCACGTCAAGTTATGCTAGCTGCGCTGTCAGATAAGGCAAACTGTATCCACAAATATACGTCTTAATAGTTGGACTGCCAAGACTGATTACCACTAAAACCACTTGATCTGAGTGATGGGCTATTCTGGAAGGTTAACCCTCAACCCAAAGTGCCAATATCTTATGTGATGTAAGTGCTCTGTTTGCTGCATTACCAAATCATGAACACTGCTGACAAATCTAGTATCCCTGTGATACATTTTATTAATAGATTTACAAACGATGGCTTTAAAATAAAGCGCACAACCTGAGCTTTGTTGCAATGAACAATCTGAAGAGCTGATTTCACACTGGCGCTTAACACACATTAAGAAACTTGATGCATGGAGGAGAGAAAAGGGAATAAAAGGAAGAGGAGAGTCGATTTGGAGGGTTTGAGGCTCATGTGAAGTATAAACTAATTTGACCAATGGCCTGTTTCTGTGCAGTAATAGTTTATGGAATTCAATGCCCTCTGGAATGCTACCGGATGTGAGGGGCACTATATAAATGCAAGTTGTTGTATGTTCTATGAATGGAATCACACGGACAGCTGAAATGGTCAATGGCTGATTATTACAATGCAAGCAGTAATAGGGAATATACTACAGTAAAGTGTTTTAGTAAAGTAACGCCTCATCAGATAATTATTAAGAGGAATGGCCAAAGGGCCGGGCATTGGGATTAAAAGATCTGTCAAGATCTGTAACTGGTGGAATAAGCTTGGTGGCTGAATGGCCTCCTCCTGCTCCTATTTTCCTATTTTCCTGTCTCTGTACAGTAGTTCACACGTTCCTGTTTACCCAGAAGTAAGTAGGAACCCAAATGTTAGTCAATTGATGGATTGCTTTCTGGGGGTTATAATCCCTTCAAATAAATACGTAAAAATAATAATTTGGTCACTCAGACTGTTTGTGGGACACTGCTACGCTCAATTGGCTGCCGCATTTCGCCCCAAAAATATGCAATCAGTCCACTTTACAGTATATTCTGTGAAGCGCTTTGAGACATCTCAATGACATGATAAGGCACGTCATCAAATGCAAGGATTATTATTGTATTCAATCCACTGGCCGATCAGGAATGAGGATGGGGGGTGATAGGCTCGAGGAGCCTGGTGCAGGAGAGGACATGGCCCACCAATAAGACTGAATTTGGGAATTTTCCAGCGTTCTGCGTGATCTTAAATCTTAAAACAAATTGGATCTTTTCAGAATGAATCCAGGAATTTCT